GGGACGGGGGCGCCTCTGCGGCGGCGCCCCCCGCCTCTTCCTGCTCCAGGTGCGGCCCGGGCCGGAGCCCCTGGCGGGGAGGGCGGGCCGGGGCGCGGGGGGGCCTCTGCGGGCCCGGGCCCAGCGCCAAGCGGTGCCCCCCGTCCGAACGGGCCGGCCGCCCCTGCTGACACCCGGTGGGGCTGTGTCCCAGCAGCCGCTGTTAGCTAGAGTGGAAGTGTTTCCTTGTGGTCAAAGGGAGCTTGTCCTAGAAGGAGCTTGGAAAGTGCTCAGAGCGCCCTACAGGCGCCTAACAGGTTGTGGGTACCCGTTCCGCTGGGCTCCAGGTGTGTAGCACTGGTAAGGGGTCTAGGGAAACCTTTGCGTTCTGCCTTTAAACGCAGGTCGAGCTGCCGGCTAATAGGCCTGGTACACAGCATGGGTTGTTTCTTTTCCCTCGTTTTGGTTGGAGTGGCAAAATGAATGTATGGAGGGGAGGGAACAAATCATAACAAATAGTCCTAAAATTACCTTTTTTTTGAAAATGTTTTGTTTCTATTATTGTAGTTAACGTGCATGTATGGGGCAAAAAAAAATCGCTTGTATTTTTAAAGCATTACTGTGGCGTTTATGGCTTGTCCCATGTAGGGACCAGAAGAGGACCAGGAGTCCGAGTCGGAGCTGACCGTAACTCAGCTGAAGGCCCTGCGCAAGCAGCAGCAAGAACGACTGGAGAAGACGATGCTGGGGGAGGACTCTGACGAGGAAGATGAAAACGAGCAGAAGAGAACGGAGAGCAATCCCAACAGTGACCTGAGCTGCTCCTGGGGAATGGGTAGGTGACAAGGCCTCCCACTACAAACATGCTAATGTATCTTGAAGGTGCTTTGTTGTTGTTATTTTGTTTCTAAACCAGGTCTCTGTGAACACAGGGTTTGGAATTTCACCTGAATGCTTGGCATCCAAATCCTGTGGAAGACTTTTTGCTTTTAAAAATAAGAGGCAAGCTTGTGTTAGACAAGAACTATTCCCCTAAAATCAGGGAGAAGATATTCTGGCTTTTCAAACCATCTGAAACTTAAGAGTTGAGATTTATGCTATGTATTGTCTCTCTGTGATGGTGTGAAAGGTAGAGTTTAGTTAATTGAGGCTGCTATACAATACAAATGACTCCAAGAAGCTGACTTCTTAAAAAAATTGGATAAACTGTAATTAGTGAGCTGTTGAGTGGCTTGTGAGCTACTTTTCTAAGTAGCTAAGTAGAAATGCATAAAAACAGAAAACATCCAAAGCAGTGAAATTACAATGAAATTCATTTGCAAAGATTATATCTTATTATGGAATAATTAATAATGAAGTAATTGATTGGATACAGAATGAATATTCACCTTAAGGAAACTTATTCTAGAATGCTGTGGCTGGAATTCTTTCAAACTGATAAAAGTGGAAATGTGCTGGCTTACTTTTTCCATTTTTTTTCCCCATTTTATTTACATTTTGTATGTTGTCTTCTAGGGGAGGATGCTGAGGACGATGAGGCTGAAGAAAACCCTATTGCTATTGAATTTCAGGAGGCACATGATGCCTTCTATATGAAAGATCCTAGAAAGGCCCTGCAGGGCTTTTTTGACAGAGAAGGTAAATGTTTGATGTTTGTTTTTCCCCCCCCCCACGCTCCCCCCTCCCTTTTTTTTTTTCCTTAATTCAGGAATATCTGGAATTTGTGTGCTCATTTTTTCTTTAGGATTTAAAGTGTGGGAGCCAAAGCTTTTTTGTTGCATTACTCTTGCCCTCTCCCCCTTTACTTTATAGAGCTGTATCATCTTCAGATGATACATTTTAAAAGCAAATGTACTCTCTTGATATGAGCATCTTATTTGTTTGATTTAAAAATAATATTTTTTGTCTGCTCTAAAACTTCTTCTTGCTTACAGCAATTTAGGTAACAACAACTTTCTTTCTTTCCTTCTCTAGGAGAAGAGCTAGAATATGAATATGATAATCGTGGGCACAATAGCTGGCTGTGCAGAGTCAAGTACGCTTACCTTCATTAACATTATGGACATAGAGGACAGCTTTGAATTCACAAGCAAAAGTCAAAGGAATTATTAGTGTGTCTCATTTGCCAAGGAGGCCAACTGGAATTGGTCCTAAGCCCCAGTATTGAATGAGGAAGCCAAGGATCACTGCCATTTTCAATGACTACACTTCTTTCTTGTCTGTCAGCACTGGTATTCCTTTGAGATGAAAATCAGGAAAGCAAGAGACAGAGTCTCCCCAGGGAGAGGAAGGGAGAGGGAAAGACTGTGTGTGATGTATATATATATGTATATATGAATATATCAAATTCCTATTCTTAGGTGCTAAAAGCAATTTTTGAGGTGTTTCTGCAAGAGGCCACTAACACTGTCCTAACATTAGGTAGGAGAAGGAGTAAGGTGGAAATCAAATCAGATAGTTCAGCCATTACAAAGACATATCTATCTGAAGAAAATGTTAGCTTAAAATGCTGATGCTTATAATAATTTGGGGATTGCAGTTTGACCTAGTAATTGTCATTTCTAGAGAAATGATTAGGGAACAGATTCCAAGCCAGTGAAATAAAAAATTTGCTTGCATGTCTTGTGAAATTTAGACTTGTGTTTTGACTAGTCCTATATGAAATGAAAGACCTAACCTGGAAGAGGCTAGAGGGGTATAGAAAGAGCAATGTCACTGCAGTATCTAAGTAGTATCCTTGAAAAGCTGCTCATATTGAAGCTGTTTTCTGAAACTTTGAACTGTACAGATTGCCTGTGGACGACGCATCAGGGAAGCAGCTGGTGGCAGAGGCTCTCCACACAGGCAAGAAGAAAGAAGCAATGGTGCAGTGTGCACTGGAAGCGTGCAGGCTGCTGGATGCGAGGGGAGTGCTGCGGCAGGAAGCAGGTGATGAACCAGGCAAATCCTCTGATGGTTCCTGAAGGCCTAAACCAGTGATCTGAGATTGTTGTCTTGGATATGCTTTATTTCTTGATAATAATGAAGAATCTGGTCTGTAATCACTGTACTCCTTGCATTCCTCCTCACCTCTCCTAGTATCCCGCAAAAGGAAAACAAAGAACTGGGAAGATGAGGATTTTTATGACAGTGATGATGATACCTTCCTTGATCGAACTGGTGCTGTAGAAAAGAAACGACTCAACAGAATGAAAAAAGCTGGTAAAATAGAAGAAAAACCAGACACATACGACACTCTGGTAAGAAGAATTGTTATGACAGGCCGATCTTATTCTCTAACATGCACATTATTGCTAAGAAGGAAAATTTTATTAGCCTGTACTTTAGTTAATCATTTCAGAACCTCAGCTATCAATTGGTCAAGTTAGAATGGAATCAAACTAGATTTGGTGATTGTAGAATCAGAGGCTTTAAGTCTCGGAGAATAAAAAATGGAGGTAGAAAAAAATCATAGGCTCTTTAAAGAAAAAAAAAAACTGTGATATTTCCACTTAGTGCTTGATCAGTGTTCAGCCCACAGAAGCCATCAATCTGACTGCTGCTAACTGACACACATCCATTACCCTAAGCAAAGAGGATGACTGGTCATGGAGAATGACTTACTGTGTTACCAAGAGCTGTTATTGCTTTGGGCTGAGTCATCCTGCAGAAGAAATATTCTGCAGCGGCTTGTGTTGTCTCCTCAAAAGTGAAGATTTCAGTCCTTGAGATTTGGTCACCAGAGGACTTTGCAATTCTGAAAAGTGCTTTTTCTTTATGAGAAACATCTGCTTAAATACCCCAAAATGCTGCTTGTTTTATTATAGTGTAAGCATGCTACCTGGGTGTTGGTCTGGGTAGTATGCTCTTCTGTTTGACGGATCATAGCAGAGGATAAATTAAGTATCAGAACAAGAACTGTTTTAAAGCATCTGAAAATACTTGCAAGAATTCGAGTGGGTAAAACATTCCCGAGAAGGATCTCATCCTGCTCCAGAGAAGCAGCAGCTTGCACTGACTAGGGTTTGATAGCCAAGAGGCCTACATGGATAGTGGGATGTTGGAGAAGGGTTTTCTGCGGGGTGAGGAGAAGGGTGGAAATCAGGATAGTGGCCTAATGTAGATACAGAAGCATTATGCATATTTTTATGCTTCAGTATGTGCCCATTGTAGGAAAAGAATGTTCATAAAGAATTTTTCAATGTAGCCTATAAATGTTTTAGCCCAGACATTCCTGGTCAAAGACCCAAAAAAAAAAAAAAGATTTGAAGATCTCTTAAAAGGGTATTTTAAAGATGATAAAAGGATCTAAGCATGTGGTTCTTTCATAGGTCAAAAAATTAAATGAAGCTGAAAATGAGCTTTCTGAGATAACAGCAAAGTTGAAGGCTTCAGGGAAAGGTAAGGCATGAAGTCTCTTTGATAGCAGAGCTTTTCATAGAGACTGGAGAGATGAAAATATATTTTGCGGATGCCTGTCAAATGCATCTTTTTAGCGCCCTCTTTTTTCAAAGGGAAAAGAAGCTTTGCAGGTCACTGAGTTAGCTGAGGAGGATACCTAACACTGTGTATTGGGT